CTCCTCCTCCTCCTCCTCCTCCTCCTCCTCTGTTATGCCCCCTTCCCCTCGTCTCCTCAGGGGAGGAAGAGGAGGCGAGGCGAGGCGAGGCGCTGGCGTGCGTCCCGGAGGGGAGAGGCCAGAAGGAATGGATGGAAAGAGCGTGAGAGGGGGGGGGGACGAGAGGGGGAGACAGGAGACAGGACGAGGATAAGGGAGGAAGGGGAGGGGAGGGGCAGGAGGAGGGAGAGAGGAGGGGAAGGGAGGAGGGAGCGCGCGGCAGGCTTGCACTACCAGCGCCCAGACGGGCAGCAGCCCAGGTCGCGCCGCCCCACCTGTCCCTGTTCCTCCTGCCCCTGACCTGATTCTCCTCCCTCCCATCCACCCCCCCCACCGCTCCCCCCTTTCCCTCCCCTCCTCCTCCCTCCCTCCTCCTCCATCCCCGCCGTCGAATTTCTCTCCCACACCATCCGTCCCGTCCTTCCCACTCCTGCCCCACCCTTCCCTGTCTTATCCTGCTGCCCCTCTGTTCAGCGAACTTGAGCGTCGTGGCTGTAGCGCTCGTGTGGAAAAAGTGAATGCCGATTTAGGCCATGAGGCGAACAACTTCCGCCTGGCGGGCATAGTAAAAAAGGGCGTCCTTCCCCTCCCTTACAACTCCTCCTTCCTCCTCCATGCCCCACCATCGCTCCCCTCCTCTGACGCTGCATGTTTTCTCGTGGACAGTGTTTGATGACGGTTCTGGGAGCCAGAAAACAGCCCTCAGATGCCCACTGCACCATCTGCTTGCGACGAGCAGATCTGCAGGTCCCTCCTTTCCTCTACGCCCAACATCCTCCTTCCCTCTTGTGGATCAAATTGGCGGCCAGCCCAGAGAGAGAAGCGAGAGAAGGCGGGCCTTCTCAGAAGGCTCCGAAAGCCTCGGGCCTCCTGAGAAATTTCCTGAACCTTCCCCGAACGTACGGAAATCTTCTCAAATGCGCGAGGGTTTCTGAGAAGCCCCGCCGCCTTCTGAGAAGGCCGACCCCTTCTCACTTCCCCCCCATCGCTCGCCGCCCACTTATCCTCCCTCGCCCTGGGAAAGGAGAAAGAAATGCCTGAGCATAAAAACTGCTGGAGGTCCGCGCGGACGTCTTGGATCGGCGCTGGCTGTCAAAATTGATAGGAAGGATGCGCGATAAGGATGCAAGCACCTTGGACACCGATGTCGAAGCTTTTCGAGCGGGGCTGGTCGTCGAAAGGGGGTTGAGGATGGGCCGAGGAGGCAAGGATGCCAGGGCACCCTTGGAAGGCTACCCGTCCTTACTATCGGTTTCGATTGCCTGTTTCGGCAGCCAGTTCTTCCTCGAGCTCCTGCTTTCACGTTGGGAAAACTTCGGCGTCTAGGCTGGAGCGCTCTGCCGGGGCAAAAAACCCTTGGGCACAGTGGTGAACAGACTGATGTGACTTAGGCGGCAGGCCCGTACGGTACAAGAAAGGCATGAAGTATAGGAACAGCGCGGAGTGCCCAGATAGGGCGCAGAGCAACGGTGCCGACCGCCAAGGTGCCTCGAGTTCCTCCCCTCCCTCTCCTGCCAGAGGGAGGAGGGTCTTGGCCACCCCCTGCCAATCGTGCGAAGCCGCTCCCGCGAAAGAGGTGTGCGGGCACAAGGGGGCTCGTGTCCTTCGCCTGGTGGACCACACCTGGTCCGAACTGGCGCGCTCTCTCCCTCTTTCGGTGGCTACTCATGGGAGCCTCCCATCCACGCTCAATCGACGCTCATCGGCGCCAAATCGACGCTAACCGACGCTAACCGACGCTAAATCGGCGCCATCCATCTCCCTATCCACTCCCAGACGCGAATCGACGCTCATCGACACTTAAAAAGAGAATTACGAGGGTACACGAGGCTCCCATGGTTTGCTGCCGAACCCTCCCTCTCCTCCATCCGCCCGCTGCGGCTGTCCCGCGGGGCGCAGCACGAGCCCGCCCGTCCGACGCGAGCAGCAGGGCTGTCTCGT